GTTCTAGACCTCATTTCCAGGAAGTCCTTGTTCTCATAAGCCAGTCTGTATTCTTCATTTGAAACACATTCAAAAACCTACTACACAGCATTCTGGGAACAGTCAGGGCTTCATCTGACCTCATAGTTCAACCCAGTAATTTGAAATGGCAGTGCAGTATGATAGTACTGGTACTAAGAGAGGGTGTGCACAATGTAGATTTCCTTGAATGCAAGATGCAACACAACCCCATACCTGGAGATGGGGAACAAGGTTTTCAGATTACCAGCAACACCAGAATGCCTTGTCTTGGAAAGTAAACATTAGTCATTAGTAGATGTCCATCTGAAAGAATGAGAAACAAATCTCTGTTTTTGTATATTGTTTCAATGTGGTTCAGACTGGAGCAGTTCCTTGTGGGTTAATAGTCTTACTAAGCAAAAAAGGTAACTGTGCAATTGTCAAAATATTGCTTGTTATTTCTGACAGACGTCTTCAATTTCTATAAAAGAGCAGAAGTATGATTTAAGGGCTAACCTAGAGATCCAGATCATGTATTGAAGAACAATATTGATAAGAACATGCCAGTGATTCAGTTGGCAAATTTAATTTTCTGGATAAAATATTTAACTCTGGTCTGAAGAAGGAGGGAATATTCAGTAACAGTCCCTTCCTGAATGCTGAAGCCATTTGAGTCCCTTGTATCATTAACCGTTGAGCACTGGAAAATCTCAGTGGCTGTTTCCGGTGGATTAATCATAACGTTCTGAAAATATTACTACTGACTTAGCCTTCACAGCTAATAAAGACAGACATAACACTTATGGAACAATGTCACGCAAACCGAGGGCTACACCTCATAAACAAACATACCTGCCACCCTGAATGTATCACTGTTCTTGAGAGCAAAACCTTTTCTCTGTTATTAGCAGGTGTCGTAACAAGAGGGAGCCTACTATGCATTACAAGTAATTGAATCTCACTCCCCCTCCAAAAAAAGAATATTTCATTGTGGAGAATGCTTGCAAAGAGAGTCTTATACTGAGGCTAAGATCTCAATGCAGATATACAAAATGCATTCCCCCTCCTTTTCTAGTGAAGCAACGTGGCTAAGTCAAGCATCACATATTGGGGCCCCATGCTGTGAACTACTTTGTGCCTGAACAGCCCGACTTCCTTCGATGAAGTCAATGGGAGAATGTGCTTGGCAACTTAACAAGATCATTAAGGGCTTGGAAAGAGTGTGAAACAGATTCTCCCTGAGTACTGGCATAATCTCTTTCTCAACAAGTTGATGTAGTTACAGTTTCTACTCCCATTGCAAAATATCAAAATGATTTCCCTTGTTACTTCAGATCCCCTTCACACTTTTATAAAGGAGCCTCTTCTTGCCTTCCATTCTTCTTGGTCCTGTTAGGTAACAAAGCCTTCCTTCATAGCTGAATTTGCAGGTCCAGGCGTCGTGCTCCCCAGTCCCCAACCCAGATAAATAAGAGACCAATAAGACTGGTTTGGATCAAAGCAGGCCACAACTTTATTGAATACGGATGAAAGAGGTTTGGCTTGGGCATGGGGCAATCGAAATACATCTGGCCTGCCAGAAGTGACACATAGGTCAATCCAGGAGGGGGTTCCTAAGACTTACATCAAATAGGGTGACCCCCACAGGGACCGCTGCCTGGAGGAGTGCCTTTGACCTTGGCCCCGCCTGGGCACATGGACATGACCACTCCCCCCAGAACCCTTTAATGGGATACCCCAGCATTTGGAGAGGCAGGCAGAGACTACAACTTCCCTTCCATCCAAGACAACAGATTGCCCCAATGCCCAACCGAGTTGTGACGACTGCTATGAGGTAGGCAAAAACCACCAGGTCAGAGCCAATTTGCCCAGTGGACAAATTCCTATCCGGCCCTGTAAAGAATGGCGACCACCGTAGCCACAGCAAAGTCCTTGACTAATAGCTTAAACAGAGGGTCAGTGGGCAGGGCAACCCAACGAAAGAACAAGCAGGTTATGCCCCAGGTGCAGGTTGCTTAAATGGCCGGAGGGGGGGACCCGAGGGAAGCCTTCCCGCTCTGTCGGATCTGCCCCCTGGCACAGCCCAAGTCCCAGCCTGCAATCCCATTCACCAAAGCAGGGTGCAGGCCAGGATCTGGCTCCTGATAGGCAGTGGGGGCTTATGTCATCAGTGATACAGCACAATTCACCTAATGTTTGTTGGCTTGCTTAGTCATTTATGGAAAGATTTATATACTGAGTTTCAGCTCTTAAAAGGGTTCCAAGGATGTTCACAATGAGACAAGCCAATCTGAATATAATAACAAATGAATAAAACCACTATAAAAAGCAAGAACCAGCAAAGTTCACCCCACTATTACCATTCTTTTTCAGACATGTAAACTGTTTCTCAGCTAAAAACTATCAAAGTGGTGTATAGTAAGATAAGATACAAACACTAATAACAACAGAACTATTTTTATAGCTATACAATTAAATTTTCCATAAAATGACCGGGTCACACTTCGTAGAAAGTCTTCTCAAACAAAAATGCAGCTTAAGTAGCCACCATTGATGGTTAAAGTCAATAAGCATATGGGGTAACAAAAATGCATGGATTGCCTTCCTGTAAACCAGGCTTCCTCAACCTTGGCCCTCCAGATGTTTTTGGCCTACAACTCCCATGATCCCTAGCTAGCAGGACCAGTGGTCAGGGATTATGGGAATTGTAGTCTCAAAACATCTGGAGGGCCGAGGTTGAGGAAGCCTGCTGTAAACCATCAGTGGCAGGACAAAATGAACCTCTCTTCGTAGAGAACTCAACAAATGGGGTCCTGCCAGCCCTTTTATGTGAGCCGTGTCTATCTTTGCCTAATTTGACACATTAAAAGAGCCACCCAGCCACATTTCCTGTGTTTGAAGTCCAAGGTAAATATGGATCCATATTGTGGTTTGAGGACCCAATCCCCGCTTTGTGGAATGAAGACACACAGACACAGAATATAAGGTTAATGGGCAAGAAAAGGCCACAACTTTATTGATTACAGCAAGTGAGAAGGTATTGGCTTAGGCATTGGACCACGACAGATTGACTTCACTCACTCGGAGAGGGGTGAGCCCAAAGGGGGTTTATTCACCAGAAGGTGGAGCCTGTTGATGCTAATACAACTATAAGCTCTCCTCCTGATGTCATCGAGGGTCGTGCCATGGCCCCCCGCCACACAGGCATTGGACAGGATCCACAACCACCGGATTCCTTTAACGGAATACCCAAAATTTGAAGGGGTAGGTGATGGCCAAACCTAGCCCTTCCACACACCAACAACACATTCCAATGCCTAACCTACCCACCAATACCAAGAAAGTTGTGACGATTGCTACGAGGTAGGCAAAAAAAACCAAAAGGCCTAATGCCAGATGGAAAAATTCCTACCAGGCCCCCTGGGCAACCTGGGCGACCAACCTAAGGTCCATAGCAAGGTCAAGAGAAAAAATTAAGCCCTAAGCTCTAAGGGAGTGGAGGGTGGGTGACTCGCAACGAGAAGGCAGAAAATGAGGCAGAATGGCTGGCACAGCAGTATCTTAAACTGCAAACCACGCCCCCTCCAAGCCGCCTGGTTGGGCGCTTACCTGTGGGCGTGGTGCGCCAGCCAGGTGAGTGGGGCAGGGAGCATAACGCACCCTGCGTGACGCAGTAATCACGTCCCGCCCACAACACCTCCCCTCTTGGAGGAGGAGAGGCTTTTTGGTTAATGGCATTTTCTTCTCGGAAGTTTTATTTTGCCATTGTGAATTTCTCCTGTCCCATTAGGGCTTGCATGCTGGATTAGTTTTCCAAAACTTTCTTCCACTAATACACTTTCTCACTTCCAAAACAACCCTCGAATGCTCATGTTCCCATGTCTACCCTCAGCTGCACCTGGCATGTCTTAGCCTCCTCTGCCTCCTGCTACCACCTGACCAAGATTTCTTTCTCAGTGATTGAAACACCTGTCTCCCCATGCAACTATTTTTGCAATGCCTAGAAGTAATTAGCTACGAATAATTGCTAGGTAAGAAAGGTTATATTAACAAGAGCCATATTACTCATTACATTCAATCCCTTACAGATATGTTGTATTTTTTATTATTATTTCTGCTTATGGTTTGTCAGCTACAATTTTGCCCCTTTTGCCAAGTGCCATCATGTGCTAAACCTGATTCTATGGTAGACTTATAAGCATTGCTGCTGTTTTTCACTCTGGTAGGGTTACTTTGCTTCTAGAGCTGAACATATTTACACAAGAGAGAAGGTTTTGTTGGAAGAAGGGTTTGGAGATTTGAAGTTATACACAGGAATCATGCTCACATACACTCCTTCTGGAAAGTAGCACAGACTGAGGAAGTCATAAATTACCAGTGAACTACCAATTCATTCTATTGAGCAGAGCCAGGAAAGGAGTTCTGGGCTTCTTTCTTCTTCTTCCAAGATCATAAATCCTCAAAACACCAGTAGTTTCACATTGGAATAGGGAAAAGTAGTCATTAAAAACAGAAACCACTAACTAAAGCAATTTGAATGCAAAAGAACTACATTAAAGGGTTAAGTATTTTAAATATATCTGTCAAATTCCTACCTAATTCCTACCAAATTCGAGACTGGAATGCTATAAATGCATATGGTATCTGTAAAACAGTAAATGAATAAGTTAGATTTTTTTTCATGATTTAGGCTTAATAATATGCATATTTACCTGGAAGAGATTCCAAATAAATGCAATGGGATAGAATAAATCATGCATAGGGGATGGGTTGAAAAACTCTCCAGGAAAGAATAGTGTGGGGGGGAAGTTACCTCCCGGCATAGGTACCCAGTTGGCCACTGTGAGAACAGGATTCTGGGTTGCCCTCTGAGGGGAGGATAAAAGAAGGGGGAAGAAGGAGGAGGAGGCGCAAAGGAAAGGAAGAAGGCGAGGCAGCCGCCCAGGACCAGCACGCGAGCCCCCCTGCCTTGCTTTCCTCGGACTTGCCCTGCACCCACCATGAGCAACCTGCCCAAGGAGAATGAGCACAGCAGCAACAGCCTCGAGGAAGAGGTGCGGACACTTTTTGTCAGTGGCCTTCCTGTGGACATCAAGCCCAGAGAGCTTTACCTGCTTTTCCGGCCATTCAAGGGTTATGAAGGATCGCTGATCAAGCTAACATCAAAACAGCCGGTTGGCTTTGTTACCTTCGACAGCCGGTCCGGTGCGGAAGCTGCAAAGAATGCACTGAATGGCATCCGCTTTGACCCGGAGAACCCCCAGACGTTGCGGTTAGAGTTTGCTAAGGCCAACACCAAGATGGCAAAAAGCAAGCTGATGGCCACACCGAATCCCACCAACCTCCACCCTGCCCTGGGAGCGCACTTCATTGCACGGGACCCTTATGACCTGACTGGAGCAACCCTGATTCCAGCATCTCCAGAGGCATGGGCTCCCTACCCACTCTACACCACGGAGTTAACCCCTGCCATCCCACATGCTGCTTTCACATACCCAGCTGCTGCCGCTGCTGCTGCACTTCATGCTCAGATGCGCTGGTATCCGCCCTCTGAAGCTACCCAGCAAGGATGGAAGTCTCGTCAGTTCTGTTAGTTTTAAGCTGCCTCTTGGTCCACGTTTTCCCCCTTTGTCTCTCCATGGAGTGATGTGCCAGAGATGAAGTTATCTGGATCGCTGGAAACCTTCCTTCCAAGCCCTTCTTGTGGGCACCAGCAAGGTGCTCAACTGCAGTACCTTGTCCTTCTTGTGAACGAAGATGTGGGCTTTCCCGTCCAGGACTGTGAACATAAACTGCCCACCCCCTCACCCAACTCAGTGGACTCTGCATGGTCTGTGTTCTCGCTTGCCTTCCTGCCTGCCTGTCTCGCCCTCCGCTAACTCATAGCAAACTTCCATTTCTGAGTTTCTCCTCCTGCTACGCTGAGGCCTAGTTGGAGAGACTCGGTTTTGGTGACAGACCCCTTTTCTCTTCTCGTTTTTTTTTTTCTTTTCTGGTTTCCAGCTGGGTTCCTGGCACAAAAACGTGGTCTAGCTGTGTGTACGGTGCAATATCCAGGGCCTTCTTATCCTAAACATTGTTTATGCAGTTCCGCTGGAGGAAGCGAAAGACAATCAGTTTTGCATGTTTTCTGGCATGATTCTGGGTTATATGGGTCTTTGGTCTGCTCTAGTGAGGCACTTCTTAATGTTCTTATACAGCTACTGATCACTGGCTGTTGTAATTTGGGTTTTTCTCAATTGTATGTTTAAATTGTGTATTTGTTTTTAAGTGCTGCCTGGAGAGACATTGTCAGGCAAAACAGCCTAAAAATCTTTTTAGATTAATCTCCATCATCAATAGACTTGGTTCAAAAATATAAGTCATGTTTATAAGTCCACTCGCCTCTTTTGGTGTGGCAGTCTTGCAGGACAGCAGAGGCTCCACTAGGGCCCCGACGAGGGAACCATGCCTTCGGTGCATCATTTTGTTCCTCAGATGAGGTTGGATATCAATTTAACAGAGCAAAGGAAAGGAATCTTCCTGTGTGCACACATAATCATAATAGGAAGAACAGTTGCGACTGGGCTTAAAAATGTGTGTTTGGATCCCAGAATGCAGCAGTGTATGTTTTAAAAGTGTTCAGTCCAGCTGCTGAGAAGGGATTGCTGGTCACCAATACAAATCAAAGCCACTTTAAAACTGATCAGCTTGATAGATTACAGACCTCTAAAGTACAACCTCATCTACTGAAATGGTTGATGGGGAAGGAAGTATTCAAAAGCACAGATAAATGAGAATGTCATGATTAGCACTGGGGGCCTTCCGGTGAATTCAGGTATCTAAAAGTTTCTGGGTAATTGATGCTTGGCTTCTGGGAACCATTCTTTCAAAATGCATATTAACTAGGCTTTTGCAAATGAACTCCCTGAAGACACCAGCCCACAACAAGGTTGACATTTAATACCTACAAACTGCTGAGTCATCCTGTCATACGGGGGGTGGGATTGGGAGCTTTTGGAAAATTAAACTATTATTATTATTTATATAGTGTTGTAACTGCACATTGCACTCCAGAGCAGTGAGATATACGCTAAACATAAAACCAAATTCTCTTCCAGAAGAGCTTATGACATAAATAACAAAGGCAGTAGTTGGGGAAACCTACCTTGCTCCCTCCCCTTATACTCCAGGGTTTAGACATTTTTCAACAACCACCAAAAGTACTTTATATAAACTTTCCCAAGCAATTTGCCTTTGGGAAAAGAAACAAGCCTGAGAAATTTCATCTCAAAATGAGATTGCTTCGGAAGGTTACAAAATGCTGGAACCAAAATGCCTTCTGGAAAGCCTTGACCCTACACACCTGCTTTAGTTGCTCTGGTGGAAATACAGGTTTCTGCAACCAGAGTGGTTTAATAGTGTCCCTCACTGTGCTTCACAAGTGGAACAAAGCAATCCAGGGGACTATCGGGTAGTCCTGAAAGGGACTGGCATGGCTTCTATTTGCAGAAAGCACATAAGTGCACATTAGACTCTTGACACGTGTCATTTTGGCAAAATTCTCCACCCCCTCCCAATAAATTATACAGAGGTAATATCTGCTTTTAAGCTGTGCAGTTGACAGCTCTTACTCTTCACAGTAACTGGACAAGAACTTCCTGACAGTAAGAGCTGTTTGACAGTGGAATTTGCTGCCAAGGAGTGTGGTGGAGTCTCCTTCTTTGGAGGTCTTTAAGCAGAGGCTTGACAACCATATGTCAGGAGTGCTCTGATGGTGTTTCCTGCTTGGCAGGGGGTTGGACTCGATGGCCCTTGTGGTCTCTTCCAACTCTATGATTCTATGATTCTAACTAAATGTGGCGACTGCTTTCTGCTGGCAAATCAGCCAAGAACAGCCCAAATCAGCAGAGCATAGTGCTGCAAGGCTAGACTGGTGGAAAGGAGGGACAGGAATTGCCAGGCAAACTGCCTCTGCTGAAATTCCCTCTTCTTCACAGCTATTAAAGGTGCATGTGCCCTGGCCCCTTTCTCAGCTTTCAGTGGCTGCCTTAGCAAAGTGCTAAACAGAGGGAATTTTCCCCCCATCAGCCCTGCTTGCTGAGGACACAGAAAACTTCCTTGGGCTGAGTCAGACCATTGGACTATTTAGCTCTGTACTGGCTGTACTGACTGGGAGTGTGGAACTCCAGGGTTTCAGGCAGGGGACATTTGCAGCAGTGTTAGAAACTCAGATATATAAGCTGGCCACCATATGGCTTCTTAAACCAGGGTTACAGTTGTGAAAACACAACCATGCTGCAGCTTTCCCACAAACTGCAGCATCCAGACCTTTCACAAGGGATGCTCCACATAGAGTGCATTGCAGTAATCCTACCTTGCCTGAATGATCATATTTGTGCAAAAGTGTTGGCTTTGCCACTGAAATTATAGCCCCATAATGACACAATAATCGTATTAATCTTTGACTGTAGTAATCCAATCCTGTAGTTACCAGTGCCTGAATGTTTGTATTTGTGCAAAAGCGTTGGCTTTGCCACTGAAATTATAGCCCAATAATACAATAATTCTTATTAATCTTTATAACTGCCCTCTAGTATAGGTCAAGATTATTATTCCCTCCCATACTGCAGAACTGGGAAATGGGAAGAGGTGAATTGGAGTAGCTTGCAAGCCTAGCGAATTTGTACTAGATATGACACATTTGCAGCACATCTTCAGATCTGTTAGCCCAATCTTTTAGAAACTATCCCACACTAGCTGTTGAGTATTACACATGTACAGCTCATAGGATATTTTCTATTTATTTATGGCATCCAGGACTAAATGCTTTTACAGTGACACAAATGAAAGATTCGGAAAATCAAGGCCCCGATAAAGAAAAATACTTCTGTAGTCAGTTTTGTGTTAGCCTATCCTAAATTTCTAGACTGCATTTGGATTATGAGCTCCTGGGCTGAGAAGCAGACAAAAGTTATTACTGATACCTCCTCTTCTCAGGTCTCCAAATGCTAGTAACCTGACAAATATAAATATAATCAGTGTTACATGAATGCAGTCCTCTGCAACTGGATCAGCAGTAAGTCTGTTGATTTGAGCCATTATCGGGAATCTAAGAGACATACAAAATTAAATTCTACTTTACTGTAAATCCCTGATTGTATCTGAAGTTATTTTTGGGAACTTTATGGTACACGCTCCCAAACCTGTGTGCAGTTTCCCAGTTGAAGTGGAGAAGTTTGACACCATAATCTCTCCATGTTGTGGCTCCAGCTGAAATGAAATTTGATAGAAAACAGTTCAGTGGGGAGGGAATTAAGGAGCTAGCAGAGTATGTGATGTTACATAAAGTTCATGTGGACTTTGTTGGCTGCAGCACTGAAATATAACAGAATAAATCTTTCAATGGTATGGCTGGGCATGTCAGGGATAAGTCTCCTGTAGTTACAGAGTTGCACATTATGCATTGGTCGTCCCGAATGAATCACAGGTGGAGCTGCATTATTTAAACACGCAAAGCGTGTTCTCCAATAAATGAGAGCACGTGTTGCGGTGTGGGCCACCGGGCCAGGCCTCTTGTTGCCAGGCAGGTTAATAGTTGTTGCCTGGCATTGTGATTGGATAACCGGGTTGCTGGGGCAAATTGTATGTTGCAAATTGGGTGGGTGGGACCATAGTCTTCAAATATTGGTGCACTCTGGTTTCTCTTTCTCTTTGCAGAGTGCATCGGATCACCCGCCCGCCCGCCCTCTTTTCCGGTTGACCTTGCTTTGCCTGTCATGGGGTCGTCTGCCTTGGCGCAGGGGCCTAGTAGGAATTTTGCCATTTGGTGATTGGCTGTGCCATTTGGTTTTTGCCTACTACTCAGCAATTCGTCACAACTTGTAAGGTTGCGGTTAGGCATTGGTTATAAAATGCTGGTGGTGGAGGGGTCAGGATAGGCCGTGCCTGCCCCTCCCATTGCGCTGAAGGGAATTCCGTTAAAGGAATCCTGGGCCTTGCCATGATTTTGTCCAATCCCTGTCATGGGACCAGGGCCGCCCAATCCCTGTCATGGGAATCCTTGTCATAGGATCTGGGCCGGCAAGCTTCGGGAGCTGCTGGGGTGAGCGGCGTGGGTCCGACGCTTAGCTCAAATGACCCCCAGTTTGACTTTCTCTTCTACTGGCTACCGATCGGACCTCGGGATGTCAGTTCTGTCCCAGGCGGGGGGACAGATAGTCATAACCAATGTCTAAACAACCACTCACTGATTTTGTATTTTAATCAAGTTGTGGCCAAAATAGTGCCCAAAAACCAAAACTAAAATTAGGTGTTATGTGTGAAGTTATTTGAGGGGTGGCCTGGGGACCTACACACGCAAAAGTTACAGGAGTAATTCCCCCCCCCCCCTCAAGTGTGGGACAATACCATCTGACCCATGACATGCCAATTTTGTGTTTCTTCTCTCAACAGGTGTAAAGGGGAGTCATCAAAGCAGCACATTAATAAGATTAAAACAATATTTTAGCTTGGCTCGCAGGCATGTCATTTATCATCATTCTTTTTCATCTTATATGCAACACAAAAAATCCCTGTGGATGACAAAAGCATTCAAGATGTTCCATCATTACCACATTTCAGTGAAAGGGAGATGAGAGAGTAAATACACCTTGTCTGAATAGGGACACATCTAGACTGGAGCCTCCTGGGTTCCTGGTTTAGCTTTTGTGCTTTAAAGCGGGACAGGGAGCCCCAAAATAAAGAATATGCAGAGTTTTGGATTCAGAATTTCCCTCTGTGAGTTAGCATCTTTGACCACATGGAGTATGCTGCTGGTGCCCAGATTTTAATTCATCTGATCTGGACCATCATTTGTGCAGAGACTATACCCTCAAAGTTTCATATGAGGAAGCATTCTTCCCCACCTCTCAATAGAGCCCCCACAGAATTTACCACACAGGAGAGAAGGTTTTGAAGGCATCTGCCAGCGATGATAAGGTGCAGTGATTATGAAGGAACCGTACAAGCCGAACACTCATAATTCAAATGTCAGTTCAGTCATCTTTTCATCGGGTAGATTAATTAAGTTATTGTGTACTCCAGATTTGCCTATCCCACCTGTAATATGGAGATAATAGTATAGGGTTGTTGGAATAATTTTTGACGTACTCACTAACTGACAGGAAACAAATAAAAGGACATCTAAATAAATAAATACACAAATATTATGGATATAAAACTATGAACATTAACTTCAATATCTTAAGGGCTGTTGCATGGAAGGTGGAGCAAGCTTTTCTTCTGCTCTGGAGGGTAGGACTCAAACCAATGGATTCAAGTTACAAGAAAGGAGATTCCAACTAAACATCAGGAAGAATTTTCTGGTAGTAAGAGCTGTTAGTGAAATGGATTCCCTTGGGAGATGGTGGACTCTGAGGCACATGAGTTTCATAACACAGCATTCATTTTGATGATGAGACCAATACTGTTGAAAAATGCGAGTTATATATGTGCTTTGATATGCAGTGCAAGAAAAAGTTTATTAAATGGTCCTCCAAGACCACCAGCAATTTTCAATTGGTCTACACACACTTCTCTTGGTTTAAGTTATTAGAATCATAGAACTGTAGAGTTGGAAGGGACTGTGAGGATCATCTAGTCCAACCCCCTGCAAAGCAGGAATCTGCAGCTGTCCCATATGGATCCCATATGGGGATCGAACCTGCAACCTTGGTGTTATCAGCACCATTCACTAATGAACTGAGCTATCCAGGCATCCTTCTTCAGATCCATTTCACCAGCATGATTCAGTAACATGAGGCAATTCAGATTTTTTGAATATTTATTTAATACATCATAAGTACTTCAAACCAGTAAGGATTATTATATAGCATAGATATAAAAGCTGTAGTGACTAATTCTATACATACACACAGAGGGAGGGGAGGGAGGGAGAAAATAGGAAGTAAGGGCAGATTAGTTGAATGCCATCTGTCCCAGCTAGATATTTCCTTTCTCCTGTTAGTATTCATATGACATTTACTGCTGCCCCCTTTTTAAAATCCTGGGTGGAAAAACTGAATTATACATGCACATATATCTGTAGTAGAGAAAGCTAAAATGTACAATTTGCCTGGAGGGCCTGCAATTAGGGATTTGCCAAGTCAGCAACATGCTGTAGGGGAATCAAGGAAATCTCCATTAGAATTCCATTAGGACCTGCTGAGATTATCTGCTTTTCTCATTGTATACACATTCTATTACTATTGGAAATGTGTGGGGTTTTATTTTTTATTTTATTTTATTTTTTTTTAAAAGAAACATTCCTACACTCACTCTTA